ACACCATGTAATGCTTTTTTTTTTTCCATATGAGCACTTGGTCTCCCCAGAGCAAATCAAGGAAATTATAAAGAATGACTGCATATATGGCAAAAGGTGGGAAGGTAAAGATATCAAGATATAAGTCTTGAAGACATTCCAGAGCCCAGAAGTCATACCAGATGAACTAGCAGCCAATGACTTGATGGGACAAGTGCTTCCAACTCCGTTCCAGTTGACTGGAAAGAAAACATAAGAGGCTGGGTATGGTGGCTCATGCCTGAAATTCCAACAGTTTGGGAGGCAGAGTAGAGTGGAATGCCTGAGTCTAGGACTTCCAGGTCAGCCTGGGCAATTTGGTGAGACCTTGTCTTAACAATAAATCCAATAATTGGTTGGGCATGGAGGCATATGTTTGTGGCATCAACTACTCAAGAGACTAAAGGGGCAATACAGCCTAATCCCATTCCCTTGAGGCTGAATGGCCATGAGTGCACCACTGCAGTCCAACCTGGGGAATAGGCTGAGACTCTAAACTCAAATAATAATAATAATAATAATAATAATAATAATAATAATGCACAGCAATGCCAGTAAACACATTGGCATTACACAAGCTGACAGAAGTGCTCTGAGATTAGAGATTGCTTTTGACTTCTTTTGTAACAGGGCCTCATTACAATAGGGTTCCCAAGCTAAAACCAATGATGGAAGCAGAATTGGTATCATGAAGCTATGTTTTTAGAGAAATGAAAATGTAAAATCATCAGACAGAAATTAAGAAATGTTTCTGTCAAGCTACACCGACTGTCCCAACTAAGACAGCGAGATCAGATGTTCTTCTTCCACCGCATCCTCAAATTTTTATGAAGATAGAGAATGAAGTACTTGATGATAACTTGCTTTTATTTAATGAATAATAAAGATACTTTTTCCCCCTTTATGATTTTCTCTTTTTCTTTTTAATCGAGGGTGTACCTGTGAAGGCTTATTATGGGGATATATTGTGTGACTGTCAAGTTTAAGCATCTGTTGAAACCATCACCTAAACACTGCAGACAGTGTCCAACAGGCAGTTTTTCAACCCTGGCTCCCTCCTACTTCACTAGTTTCTTGGGTCTACCAGTCTCATCTTTATGTCTGTGAGTACCCAGTGTTTAGCTCTCACTTATATGTGAGAATATGCAGTATTCACTTCTTTTTCTTTTTAATATACTTACATTACTATAAGAGTATTGTATATAATACACATAATATACAAAATATGTTCATGAATTTTTATGTGGAATTCATAACAATGTAGTTTCTTCATGCTGAAATTGTTGTCTCTTACACAGAAAAACAAACTCACTGTAAGAGGAACATTTATTTCATTTTATAGAGGATTTAACACATCAAGCACTAGTGTTTGTTCACTTTGTTCGAATGTGAAAAATACAAACAAAATGAAAATTAAAACAACCCCTAGACTTATAATGCTCCTAAGTTTTCACTGAAAAAATTAGTCCAGTAAAATCAGTAAAAATCAGTTGTTGAAAGGAATGCCTGAGCTCAGGAGTTCAGGACCAGCCTGGAAAACTTTGCAAGACCACATCTCTACAATAAAGCAAAAGATTAGCCAGGTGTGGTGTGCATGACTGTAGCTGCAGATACTTGGGAGGGTGAGGTGGAAGGATCACCTGAGCCCAGTAGGTCATCAAGGATTCACTGGCCATAAGCATGTCGCTGCACTCCAGTCTGGGGCACAGTGTGAGACTCCAACTCAAAAAAAAAATTGATTTTTCTCACAGGGGTTTATGATCAACGATAGTATTTTCCAGTGACAAATTGCTCATGACTTTAAAATGTCCTTCTAGGCACAAGAATCACTAATCCAACATAGGATGGAAAACAAAAATCACTTTCTGTTTAAAGTATTACTAAATATTTTTGCTAAATTTTAAGATGATAGTTCCCTGTCAGAAGGCCCAAACCATCCCACTCCTCTCATCAAAAGAGGAGAAATAAAATCAATTGTTAATTATACAAAGCAGAGACCTGCCTTGGCAACTTGGCAAGACCTCATCTCTACAATAGTACAAAAATTAGCTGAGCGTGGTAGTGCGTGCCTGTAGTTCCAGCTACTTGGAAGGCTGAGGTGGAAGGATTGCCAGATCCCAGCAGGTTGAGGTTGCAGTGGCCGGGAGCAGCAGGTTGAGGTTGCAGTGGCTGGGAGCAGCAACTGCACTCCAGTGTGTATATATATATACACATATACACATACACAAAATAAAAAAAAGTAAAAAAAGAACACCAACAGTATTCAATGATATTCTTTAGTTGTGGAGAAAAATAAAATTTACTAAACAAAGTAACTAAATACACCCATTGTGAATTACCTTTTCACAGTGCTTTCAAACACTATTCAATTACATTTTAAAAAATTCTTGAAATTTCTAAGTTGGCTAAATGATGGTCACTTTATGAACATAGACTTACAAGGCGAGTCACAAAGAGGATGCCCACAGGAAGATTCTGAACTAGGAGCCATTAGATATTAGTGGAGTAAATAGAATGTGAAACAGATAAACCTGATTTACTTTCAGATTTTAAATTATTATTATTATTATTTGAGTTGGAGTCTCACTCTGTCACCCAGACTGGAGTGCAGTGGCTGCTTCCAGCCACCGCAGCCTCGACCCACTGGGCTCCAGCGATTCTTCCGCCTCAGCCTTCCAAGGAGCTGGAACTAGAGGTGCACGCTACCATGCATGGCTGATTTTTAAAAATTTATTTATTGTAGAGATGAGGTCTCGCCAAGTTGCCCAGGTGGTCTCGAACCTGCGGGCTTAGACAATTCACTCACTTCGGCCTCCCAAAGTGCTGGGATTACAGGCTGAGCCACCGAGCCCAGCCTTAAATTATTTCTTTTGTACCAACAATGTCTTTTCCAACTTAGGCATATATTCACAAACAAGAACTCAACTTCTTGTTTAGTTCTTGTATTCATGGCTTTTGAGTGACAATTTTATATATTTCATTCGGTATAAATAACACAAGTTTTCATGTGCATGATCGTCTAAGGGAAGTACAGTTTGTACATAATATATACGATTTACAAGAGTCAGGATTCAGATACATGTCTTATAATTATATTCCTGTATAACCTTTATTACAATAATCAAAATGATGCATAATAATAATATATATATATTATATATATAAAACCTACAAAAAAGGAATCACGAGAGACATCATTCCACAAGTTACTCCATAGTGTATGGTAATCACTTATCTGCAATTTTAAGAGAGAATAGATTAACACTCATGGCAGCATAGCAATTTATAGTGTGGCCAAAAATTTTTAATGGATTATAAAGAATCCTATTCATTAAAAGAAATTAAATTTACATAGCCTAGCAAACATTCCAAAGGTCACTGTACACTGGCTAGCAAAAAGAGATTACAAACATCCAAACATTTCTGTTCTTTTGATAGTGTGATCCATGTGTGGACAGCTTTCTTTGGTTTTCAAATCTAATCTGAATTTTTACTAAACATAAACTTACAACATATACATTTTAAGAGAGCAATTATATTTGCTCTGATGTCTATGAAAAGTCTCTTATTTATACCATATCAAATTACACTTATGGCTTTTAAGTATTGATGCTATGAAGATGCTTCAAGATATTGATGGTCTGGCCTCATTTTCTCAAGTTGTAACTAATAAAGAAACTGATTTCTAAAACTCTCAATGTCTCTGTCATTGAGTGGCAAAAAAAATGTTATCCTGAGTACTTACCTCATGTAGAACTACAATACTGCTCAATGTGTGCCACAAAAAACTTCTCCACTTCAATCTTTTCACTGACATTACATATCAATGTTCTTCAGTCTCCATGAAAAATATGAAATGACCGCTGGTCATCAATTATACAAGGGCCTATCTCTTCTAACATAGCAACAACTGACCCCATGCTTTTGCATAAACACTAGCATCAAATGAGTTAAAGTACATCGATATTATATGGTTTCCTAAATATCCTCAAATTCTGTGAACATAAAAACAAAAGTATACAAGGAATATACTTATAGTTTCTTTTCTTTTTTTGAGTTGGAGTCTCACTCTGTTGCCTAGACTGGAGTGCAGTGGCTGCTCCTAGCCACCACAGCCTTGACCTGCTGGGCTCCAGCAATCCTTCCGTCTCAGCCTTCCAAGTAGCTGGATCTACAGGTGTGCGCTACCACGCCGGGCTAATTTTTGATTTATTGTAGAGATAAGGTCTCGCCAAGTTGCCCAAGCGGGTCTTGAATCCGTGGGCTCAGGCAATCCACTCACCTCAGCTTCCCAAGGCACAGGATTACAGGCTGAACCACCGAGTCTGGACTTACTTACAGTTTCTTGAAAAAAAAATCTTCTGCCAGGTTCGGTGGCTCAGCCTGTAAACCCATGCTTTGGGAGGCCGAGGTGAGTGGCTTGCCTGAGCCCACGAGTTCGAGACCCTCCTGGGCAACTTGGCGAGACCTCATCTCTAGAATAAATTAAAAAATTAGCTGGGTGTGGTAGCGCACACCTTTAGTTCCAGTTACTTGGAAGGCTGAGGCGGAAGGATCATCAGAGCCCAGCAGGTCGAGGCTGTGGTGGCCGGGCTGCACTCCAGTCTGGGTGACAGAGTGAGACTCCAACTCAAAAAAAAAAATATTCTAAGGCATTCAATATTTGTTGTTACATCTGTCAATTTATCAACATGTCTGTATAGTTTTTATCTTGATATGTGATTTTACAATCATTACAGATACTGAAAATGTAGAGTATAAATTCTCTGATGTTGAGAAAACTTGGAATAATAGTGAAAAGATTTATCCCATTCTTTCCACCTATAGGGTTTACCAAAATATAGATGCTCATATGTCAACCAAATATTGAATGAGAACCAAAGGCTTTATCACATTCCTCTCATTTATACAGTTTCTCCTCAGTATGGATTTTCACATGTCCAGCAAGTTGTATATGAGAGCAACAGGCTTTACCATATTTTTCACATTTGTAGTTTATCTCCAGTATGGATGATCATGTGTCCAGCAAATCCATTGTGAGAGCGGAAGGCTTTGCCACATTCCCGACATTTGTAGGGTTTCTCTCCAGTATGGATGGTCTTATGTTCAGCAAATACTTTATGAGAGTGAAAGACTTTGCCACATTCTTCACATTTGTAGGATTTGTCTCCAGTATGAATCCACATATGTATAGCAAATCCATTGTGAGAGCGGAAGGTTTTACCACATTCTTGACATTTGTAGGGTTTCTCTCCAGTATGAGTCGTCTTATGTCCAGCAAATCTTTTATGAGAGTGGAAGGCTTTGCCACATTCTTCACATTTGTAGGGTTTCTCTCCAGTATGGATCCTCATATGTATAGCAAATCCTTTACAAGAGTGAAAGGCATTGCCACATTCTTCACACTTGTAGGGTTTCTCTCCAGTATGAATGGTCTTATGTCCAGCAAATCCTTTATGAGAGCTGAAGGCTTTGCCACATTCTTCACACTTGTAGGGTTTCTCTCCAGTATGATTGGTCTTGTGTCCAACAAATCCTTTATGAGAGCGAAAAATTTTACCACATTCTTCACATTTGTAGGGTTGCTCTCCACTATGGATTCTTTGATGTTCAATAAGACTTGAGTGCCCAGAAAAGGCTTTGCCACATTCTTCACATTTGTAGGGTTTCTCTCCAGTATGAACTCTCTGATGTTGAATTAACTTTGAGTACCAATGAAAGTCTTTGCCACAATGTTCGCATTGGTAGGGTTTCTCTCCAGTATGGATAGTCATGTGTCCAGCAAACTGTTTGGGAGAGCGAAAGGCTTTGCCACATTCCTCACATTTGTAGGATTTCTCTCTAATATGCATAATCTGATGCTGAATAAGACCCGAGTGCCAACAAAAGGCTTTGCCACATTCTTCACATTTGTAAGGTTTCTCTCCAGTATGGGTAATCTGATGTCGAATAAGACCTGAGTGCCAACGAAAGGCTTCACCACATTCTTCACATTTGTAGGGTTTCTCTCCAGTATGGGTATTCTGATGTCGAATAAGACCTGAGGGCCAACGAAAGGCTTTGCCACATTCTTCACATTTGTAGGGTTTCTCTCCAGGATGAATGGTCATATGTTCTGCAAATCCTTTATAAGAGCAAAAGGCTTTGCCACATTCTTCACATTTGTAGGGTTTCTGTTCAGTATGGATGGTCATATGTCGAGCAAGGACTGAACGAGTGCAAAAGGCTTTGCCACATTCTTCACATTTGTAGGGTTTCTTTCCAGTATGGATCATAGTATGTCGAGTAAGGTTTGAACGAGTGTGAAAGGCTTTACCACATTCTTCACATTTATAGGGTTTCTCTCCACTATGGTATCTTTGATGTTGAATAAGATGTGAGTACTGTAGAAATGCTTTGTCACATACTTGACATTTGCAGAGTTTATTTGCAGTATGGATTCTCTGATGGTGAATAAGATGTGAATACCAAGTAAAGGTTTTATCACATTCTTCACATTTATAGAGATTCTCTCCAGTAAGAATTTTCCAGTGTTCAGAATGGCATGAGTAATAGCTAAGGACTTTGTCACTTTGTTCACTTTTGAAGGCTCTTTCTCCACTCTGGATTCTTTCATGTCTATTTAGATAAGGTGATTTCCTAAACACTTTCCCACATATATTGTGTACATTTCCTCCACTAGTTTTTTGATGTTGACTACATTTTGAGGACTGGTTAAACATTTTGCCATATTCATGTTTGGAAGCTATTTTAGAAATATGGGTACTCTGGTGGATAACAAATTTGGAGTGTTGTTGAAAGACTTTTCCACACTTGTTACATTTGTAATGGTTATTTACAATAGAACATCCTATCTGCCCTTCACCCTCATGATGCCTTTCCTGAGAATTTTTTAAGTGTAAGTTCTTAAGGCCAAATCTTTCATATCTTCCCACTGGCACCTTTATAAGCAAGTCTTCTATGCTCTTCTCTGGTAACAGGCCCTTAGTGTAATGAGAAGTCACAGCTGAAAAATCATAAAAATAAAAATTTATTTCACATACTAGACTCAGGTGAATATTCTTTAAAAATCAAACATAATATGTTTACAACATAAACATAATGGCAAGTAAAAAAATTCACAGGCTTCCTCTCTCTCTCTCTCTCTATATATATATCCTTAAGAAAATACTTACCACAATGCCTTTTTGAAAACTCAAAAACAGGTAAGAAATTTCAGAATTCCCAGCGAGCCCAATGTTAAAAAGAGTTACATGCAAAAGGAAGTTTAGTAATTTTGCCACCATAAACTCTATTCCTTCACAATACTGCATGATGCAATCAGATGAAAACTTCTAACTCTTTATTTCTTCCTTAATAAGCAGGAGAGTGGAGAATGAGTTCACAGTTCTACCCTTTGGGCATTTGCCCGAAGGCTGGTTTCTCTCAATTTAGAGGGCGCTGAAAAAGATAGTGGTATACTTTGGATAACAGGTTGCATCTGTTGAGACTAAAGGAAAATTATTCTTATAGCATCAGATAGACTGTGGTACCATAGAAAGGCTGCAGATATAGCAAATAAATTGGTCAAACTATTTAACTGGAAGAGTACATGCATAATGCCAGAGAAGACATATCCTGAGAACAGGTAGGAGAGACTCCCAGAATCTCTAACTTAGTGTCAGTGCCACAATATCTAAACAAAACAACTTCATAAACATTATAATAGGTATCTTTTTATCAAATACTCAAATTCCAACAATGTATCCCAAAGCATACAAAGAATCAGGATAAAGGACTCAATTAAGAGTACAATAACAAGATATATCCACAACTCAACCCCAACAAATTGAAGACATACAAAGGCCATGGCAAAGAATTAAAAATAATCAACTTAGACTTAGTAACCTACAAAGAATACAGATGACAAAACAAAAGCAGGAAAAAATATCAACACAGATTAAATAACTATTAAAAATAAGAATTTTTGGAGTTGAGAATTACAAAAATGTCTGAGAAATTTTCAAATGCAATGAAGAAAAATAGGCAAATTAACAAGTTTATTGAGCTCAAACTAGGATAGCCACAAACATACCATCAGACAAGCTACTATCACAGTTTTGGAGTAAATGTAGTGGCTCACACCTGTAATCCCAGCACTTTGGGAGGCCAAGATGAAAGAACGTCCTGAGTGAGGTATTTGAGACCATCCTGGCAAACATGCTGAGACCTTGCATTTAAAATAAATAAAAAAATTAGCTGGCAATGGTATTCCCAGCTACTTGGAATGTTGAGGCACAGGAATTCCCTGAGCCCAGCAGGTCAAGGCTATAGTAGTTCTGAGTGTGACACTGCACTCTAGCTTGGATGACACATTGAGACTCTTGACAAAAAATAATAAAATTCCAAAGGCACAGACAAGAACAGATGCTTATAGATGCTCCCATGACATTATCAGTAGACTTTTCAGTAGAAAAGTTGCAGACCAGAAGGAACTTGGGTTATACAGCAAACATGCTAAAAGAGCAAAGCTACAAACTGAGATTATCATGTTGAGCAAAACTGTCATTCAAAATAAAAAAAAAACTTTTCAAAATGAGCAAAAACTGAAAAATTTAATCACTAGCCATCACCCACAAAAAATGTTAATGGAAGTTCTTCTCATTGAAAACTAAACATGCTACAAAGCATCACAAAATTAATATAACTTTTTACAGTTAGATAGTAGATACAGGGAATGAAGAAATATCCTATAACTATCTTTCTGGAGAGTTAGTCCCTTCATGTGCAAGCTTTCAACCCCACGTAAGTGTTCTAAAAACTCATCAGCATTCGTGTTTCAGCTGGAGTTGTTGTGAGAGACTGCACTGCAGAAGAAACACCCTGATTTGTGGTAAACACATGACTGGGAAGATATGCATACTAATCAAAGTGAATGACACATTCAACATAATCCTTCCCAAATTCCCCAAGTTATGTCTTCCAGAGATACAAAACAAGAAACCCTAAAACTCACATCAAATCTCTAAGGTTCATGAAAATGTTACAGCAATTGAAACAGTTTAGTGCTGTTATAAGGCAGACAGTTACACTGGAAAATAGACAGGAGAGAAATAAATTCTTGCATTTAGATTAAAATGGAAGAGTTATTTTCACTCCAATATTTACTGCAGCATTATTCACAAAATCTAACAATTGAAAACAAGTGAAACATATTTCATCAAAGAAGATAATTCAAATGCACAGACAATGCAGTATTATTCACCCTTTAAATAGCAGGATTATCTTATAGTATCTACATGTAAAATAAATCTGGAGGGGATTATTCTAATTGAAATAAGCCAGTAGCAAGAGGCACATACCACTATATTGAAAATGTTTCACACACAAACATGATATACACTCATTGATAAGCATGTGATGAAAATAACTCACCTAGATAAGAATAAATGACACTAACCAAGAATTATATCAATTATAACAAAAATAAAATGTATACAACCATATAAGTGCTTACATAATCTTGTAGGAAAAAGACACATTTCTGAGTTATATTTCAATATTGGCCCCATTCTCTTAATTAGAACAGAGTTCTATAGAGTTGATCATGGTATCTGAAGTCATATTAGGTTATCAGTTTAACCATAATTAACTATTCATGAGCATAATTATCTGATGTGAGAAAAGAGAATGCTAAATCAACACAAAAAAAATTGTAGATAGATAAAAAATAAAAATGAGATAAACTGTACTCCATATAATCATGTATAAACATAGCTATACTGGTTAAACAGAATCCTTTTACATAATGACAGTTTTCACCTTTGATTGGGCATCCATGAAAAACAGACATTATGAATCATTAGCATGTAATTAGGTGAGTGATACTTAAAAAAACAATGAATTTTAATTACTCATAAAGAGATTTGAAGCCAGGCTCAGTGGCTCAGCCTGTAATCCCATGCCTTTGGGAGGCTGAGGTGAGTGGATTGCCTGAGCCTGCGGGTTTGAGACCTGGCTGGGCAACTTGGTGAGACCTCATCTCTACAATAAATCAAAACTTAGCTGGGCGTGGTAGCGCGTGTCTGTAGTTCCAGCTACTTGGAAGGCTGAGGCGGAAGGATCACCAGAGCCCAGCAGGTTGAGACTGCGGTGTCCGGGAGCAGCCACTGCACTCCAGTCTGGGCAACAGAGTGAGACTCCAACTCAAAAACAAACAAACAAAAAACAACAACAAAAAAAAAGATTTGATGAGAAAAATTTATGGACTAAGCATTTAAATGATACTACTGAATCTTCTTTACTATGTTATAAATATACTGCTGTTATTTTTACACAAAAGAGAAAGTGGTATTTCAGTCTTTAGGAAAGAAGAAAGACCTTACATTTATAAATACTGGAGGCATCATGAATTTTATAAAATATGGTATAACACACTGATGTATAAAATGAACCACTGGGAATACATATTAGTATTCACATACAGGTTGAGAAAAGTGAAAGAAAATGGTAATGATAACATTTCACATGCAATAAACATAAAAAAATAAATATTTAAACAAAAGTGGAAGGTTTGCTAATTATCTAACTCACATCTAACATGATATATAAATTCAAGCATATATTTCAGAACTTTTAAGCCTAATATAATATATAAACTAATCTACTGCAAATCAAAAACCAAAAGTAGATAACTTAGTTCTAGTATTCTATACAATAAAAGAGCAAAAATTGTAAAATAATAGTTTAAAAGACAAAAGGTAACAACAAATTTTTTACTATATGCTTGTCACTGTTTTAGGTTTACCTACAGATTAATTTCTTTAGGAATGCTAAGGGGAGAATAGATACATCATTCTATTTTATACTAGACACATTTAGGGAAATAAAAGTTAAACTTCTAAGCTTAGTTCATACTAAGAAAAAAATTTAATATAATAATACATTGTTTAAAAAAAATTCAATATTATGCCTTGTGCCCTGATAAAATGACTCAGTTCAAACTCCTTTAGCATTATGTGTGAAAATCTCCATAAAACTGAATATTATAATGTAGAAAACACATCACATATCTGTATCTAGTGTTCTTGAGATTTCTGAACCAAACCACAACAATGCCACTACTTCCTCTATATACTTCTGACATGAGACATAAATGAAACTTATTTTAAATGAGTTGAAAGAGGAGTCCCAGCCAAGCTTGGTGGCTCAGCCCGTAATCCCATGCTTTGGGAGACTGAGGTGAGTGGATTGCCTGAACCCGCGGGTTCAAGACCTGCCTGGGCAACTTGGCAAGACTTCATTTCTACAATAAATAAAAAATTCAGCCAGGCATGGTAGCGCATGCCTGTAATTCTGGCTACTCAGAAAGCTGAGGCAGAAGGATCGCCAGAGCCCAGCAGGTCGAGGCTGCAGTGGCCAGGAGCGGCCACTGCACTCCAGTCTGGGTGACAGAGTGAGACTCCAACTCAAAAAAAAGAAAGAGGAATTCCTAGAAATATGCCCAGATTTCCCCCAAACCCCCAAAGCAATGAGCAGTCAGATCATGCAGTCCCTCAAAAGACATGAGAATTTTGGTTCTCAATCTGAATGTGCTGGAAGTGCACTGAAAAGGAACAAGAAGATGTAGGATTGAAGAGTCTAAGAGTAACAGAAGATGTCTCTGTGTCAACAATAGAAACCTACACTTCTCAACATTATTCTCATTAGAGCAGAGTCTCACATCCACATTGTAAAGTCTAACTTCTTCATATACATTTGAACATCTCATCTGTGTCACTGGCACAAGTATTTCCATCTATGTGATTGTATGGCTGTTGTCTTCTTCCCTTTATATTCCAGGGCTTTCCTCTACAATAAATAAAAAATTAGTCAGGTGTGGTAACGCATGCCTGGAGTTCTGGGTATTTGCAAAGTTGAGGCTAAAGAACCGCTAGAGCCTAGCAAGTTGACACTGCAGTGGCCATGAGTGTGTCACTGCATTCTAGCCTAGGTGATGGAGTAAGACTAAAAAACTCAAAAAAGAAA